TAAACGAAAAAAGGAGGAATAAACAAGTGTACATTTTCCATGACACAAACTCCTAATAACCATTTAATATACAGTTCAGTTATATAATTCTATAAAATTACTTAAAGAACACAATTTAATAATTGTGCCTGGTATGTAGGATTGCCTGATGTCCATCTTTAGATCTCCGATTATATTAAGAGCTGTGTCCTGGATAGAAAAACTCTGGAATTTTTAAATAAATGGCTATAGAAACTGAAAGAGAAATAATTATTTTATAGACGGGAGGACAGAACACGAAATTTTAATATTTACTGGGATGTAGCTACGTTGGAATAAAATCATGTACGTTTAAGATTTTAAATAGGTAATTGTCATCAACTTATTCACAACTGCCCTATCGAAGAACGCAGTTTACGTTTTCGTTCTTGATCATTTTCATTAATCTTACTCTTTGCAGTTTCATTTGCTTTTGTTTCTTCGTAACAACTTCTTTTCTGTCAGATTAATTTAAAAGCCTTAAAGCTTTCTTAAGACTTCCTACACTATTTTTCATAAAGTGTCCAGTATTAGATTCCCTAAATATGGTAAATTTACTGTTATGTAATGTATCTGTCACAAAATAATCAGAGTTTAGTTTCCTGTATTGTTTAAAGGTCACATCCAGTCAGTTGCCCCCCGTTGCCGTAAACTGCTATTTAATAGCACTTTCAGATACACGTTTATGCCAACCAATAAATCCTGGGGGAAAAGAGAAGATTCTGATCAATAATAGCTTCGTGTGGTACGTTATCCACTAATTGGGAAACATCTGTTTAGAACAACACGTGATTTTCTGTGTTTCCACGCAGGTATTTATTTGCTCATTTTGTCATCAATCCGAAATATAGAATAATCTGCAGAACTGACTATCTGTAAAATGAAGTGCATCATCGTCATCAAAATTGATGAACCTATACCATATTACAGTAAACTAAGATATTTTCGAATTATAGTAAAATAAGGTATAGTAATATAGTAAAATAAGGTATAATAATATAGTAAAATAAGGTATAGTAATATAGTAAATTAAGATATAGTAAGTATAATAAGATGAGGTATTATAGTAAATTAAGACATTTTTTAATTTAATTTATTAAACTTTCATTTCTAGAAATGTTTTTTCCGTTTCTTCACCCGCATATCTAAGAACATTGAGCTAAACAGTCCTTGTTTGTAAACAATTGAAGTGAACTTTGTTTTTCTCTTATACCTTTCGTACAATTTTTCATATCATTTATGGCAAGTTAAGTTGTAGTGGCGAAGTTGCCGGTACAGGAAACTTGGAAAATCAAATGTACTTTCCACAGGAATCGAGCCAGTTATCTTCCAGCTGCTGGCTAAACATACTAGTCACTTACATGACGACAATGAAAACAATGGAAAACGTTTCATTTCTTACAATACTCTACGTAAAAGACGCCTGGGATGTAACTGGCCAAATATAGGTGGTGGCGTGTCATCGTCCACTAGACTGTTAGATCGGTAGAGGTAGGTAGGCCATACGGTTCGGTATAGGTAACTAATGTTTTCAAAACAGCAAGTATGGAAATCAAATGTGCTTTTGCCGAAATTCGAAACACAGATTTTCCATTGACTAACTACACTGACTACCAATAAGTATTTGGACACCTGTGATAGAAAAAAAAACTAACTTAATTCAAAATCAATAGTTGGTAGAGCCTCCATGAGAGGTATGTACAGCGTGGACCCTCCGGGGCATACTTTCCACAAGTCTTTGTATGACAGCTAGTGGTATTTTCTTCCACTCGGCTTGGAGAAGACATAGAAGTTTCTTCACCGACTTTGCACGGGTAGTGCACCCCTGAATTCGGGAATGCAACTCGTCCCAGAGGTTTTCGATAGGGTTCAGGTCTGGACTCTGGGCAGACTAGTCCATTCGATGAACTCCATTGGCACCATACCAAGCCTTGGTTAACTTCGAAACATGACAACTGGCATTGCCGTTCCTGAAAGTAACAGGGGTCCAACCCGTAAAACTGCCGCAACGTAGGAACCATCCAAAACAGTCATCCAAAATAGTGCAGTATTGTCATCCAAAATATTGTCATCCAAAATATTGTCATCCAAAATAGTGCAGTATTCCAAAAATTATATATTATATATATATTATATATAACAATATCCAAAAATTGTCATCCAAAATAGTGCAGTAGGCATCGGAGTTGAGCTTACCATGAATGGGGACCAAGGGTCCCAGCCCATATCAGGAGAAACACCCCCAGACCATAATTCCACCTTCGCCGAACTTGGCACAATGCATTCTGGCAGGAGACGTTCTCCAGGTAGACGCCAGACCCAGACTCTGCCATCCGAACGGTAAAGGATGACTCCAAAGAACCCGTTTCCACTGATCTACGGTCCAATTTCGATGTGCTTTGCACCACATTAACCGAGCAGCGTGGTTGGACTTTCTGATCAAAGGCTTATGGGCAGCAGCACGACCATGAAAACCAAGCAGATGTGCTTCCTTACGGATGGTATTCATCGAAACAATACTCCCGGATGCCTGTTGAAACTCCTCACGGATGAGGACCATCGGTTGGGTGCGGTTCTTCCGAATTTCTTTGAACAGCACTCGTCGGTCTCCATCCCCCAGTTTCGTTGGTCTGCCGACTCGGGGCACATTCCGACAATCACCCCTCACCTTCATTTTAAAATCACATATGCCACTGTCGATATTGAGTACTTCAGATCGCTAGATATGTCCCTTAAGGATCGGCCACATTTGTGATACCCGATAATTATACCTTTCTCGAAATCAGAGAGCTTCGAACTGCGAGGCATCTTGCATGCGACTAAAGCCGATGCTGTTTCCTACACGATATATACCGGCGGAGTCCGTGGCGTACCTTGGGACTGCAGATATCGTCATTTACATAGGTGTCCAAATACTTATTGGTAGTCAGTGTATATACCACAACAGCACATGCATAGGAATGCAATATTTGCTTACATTCTTCTAGTTCGGTGCTCGTCCAGCAAATAAAAAAGACAAACTTCGATTAATTTAATTGCAGTATCGGGATATTTAGAAACAAACATGAAATGCCCAATGTCGCATTGTCATCATTAGAAGACGGCTGTAAATGATAGGCCACTTCTAAACCTCCAATGATTTTTCATGAGGAATATCATCAACTGTATTTATTTCTAGAAAAAAGTGACAATTTACAAAAATACCTAATTTTGGTTGAAATATTGTTATCATGTTAGTTTCATTATTCTACATAACTATAATAATCGGAATTACAAGAGAAGAACTACAGTTCGTGGCAAATTCGATGAAACTAAGATTATATGGCATAGCTAATATATTTATTTGATTAAAATTCACATGCAAATTTATTAAAACTTACTTACGTTTTTGAAAATTAGAAATGCAATAAACCGAATACTTTTGCAGTTTTTAAAAGAATAAAATTATTAATGAAAAGTTTCGTTATTGTGAAAGGAAGAAGGTTATTTAGAAACTGTTCGTTCTGAGGAAAAGGGATCAATGAATTCTAGACGAATCCAATCCTCCCTCATATAGGGTTGTCCCCATAAGCGTTTAAATTTACATATGTATAAATATGCCTTCTTGCAAGTCCATTAAGTGTTTAAACATATTAATGTTATGTGTATGAACATATTTTAAACATGTCAATGTTTAGAATACCAATTGTTGCAACGTTCAGACGCCAATAAAATTCTAAATCCAATAAACAGTAGTAAAACTGCAAATCTAGTAAAAATATTTTCTTCTTGAAAAAGATTACCACTCACTTTTATTCGGAAAACGAAATGATAACTTTTATTAAAATTCCAAAGAAATATAGAGTTAACCATTCATTTAAATACTTACTTTGTGACTTCACGACTCCTTTAGAAAAGTTTACTAAAAAACACACATAATTAGCTTAATCAAAATGACCAATAATACAAATGATATTGTTCTCAAGTTCTTTGAAATATTAGAATAGTTAGAATTAGTAGACCGTGGAATACCGGAAGATAAATTATTCATTCCATAGAAAAATTTCAGTTTTAGTTATTATCTGTTTTTCTGAATTCTGAAGTTTATATGCGAATGTGCTTTGGTAGAAGAATCATAAATTTAGTAGTAATCATAAATCATTCAAAAAAAAGGAGTGAAAGATAAATTTTCGTTTTAAAATGTTTTGTAGGAAAAAGTTAACACTTTTTACTGCCAAAAAAATGGTTCTTAATTCTGGAAATAAAAAATGGAAATTCTCCATAAAAAGAAGCTTCATCTTTCGTTTTCCTAAACTACTTCTTACTTTTCGCCGCTGTTCTTTGTTTCGAAGTAGCATTAGAAGCATTTTATCGTGAATAAATGATCCTATTCTTCATTGTTCTTTTACATATGATGCTTAATTTCCTTATTGATCTCCTATAGTAGCATCTTTAATGCTTGAGTTTGTAAAAATATAATTTTTTCATATCGTTAATGATTGCTGTAAATTCAGGCTTTCATCACTGTAAGTGCAATCATAAATATTTAAAATTAGAACAAATTATATTTCCTTATTGCAATAAATTATGAAAACAAATAAATGTAAAAATTAAACATATGTAACATTTTTATGGGAAGCATAATTTGAATAACTCTCCTTAAATTGTTTTCTAAGTAGGTATTGTTTGTGAAACGGACAGATTTAAAATGATTTGCTGCTGTATATTCTATATTTGTTTTAATTATATTTATATTGCATTGCTTTGTAGTAGAGAGTAGTTAAGGTGAATAGCATTATTTTTTCTAAAAGCACTGATTTCCTGGTTTCTAAAATTAGCATTTTTACGTATTTTATAAGTTAATAAATTATTTTAAGTCTAAACGTATAAATTATTTTAAGATTTTAAGTCTAAACGTTTTAGTGCATTTATTATATTTTAGTATTTTATGCTTTAACTATATCGAGAGCTACAAGAAATTTAAGAACTCTTGTTTCAGTTACCTCGATTGTAGTTGAGCTGATTGCTGAATACTGGTAATTGGTATCGTGTGAGAGGCCTGCAAATAGGCTGGCTGTACAGTTGGTTCCAATTTATTTTCTCATATGGAGCCGGAATAAGATCCAGGTTTCCTTGGAAAATCCTCCATGGAAGTCTCCTAACTCTTAAACATGTAGCCTTCGTAGACTTTGCCATCAAATGCTGTTCAAATAACCAACATAATCTATTCAAATAACCAACTTAAACGATGTCTTTTTTTAATTAATAGCAAGTTAACATAGAACAAACATATGAACACACATAACAACGTAAATACGAAATTCAGTAACACATTGTAATATTCTACTTACGATTAAATCTTATTGACTCTCAACTTGCTACTAATTCACACTTCCCATGCTAAAGATACTTAACGTACTCTCATTTTAACTTTAAAACTTTATTGCGTAAAAACGAGAGTAAAATTAAGTTGATTTAAACTACGGCATGTGAGTGCAATTAAAATTTTTTCAAACTTATTTGTAGCTTCTTCTTCGATTTTGAATACAAAACCTTTAAATATGAACAACACGATAAGAAGATCAATCCGACTCCAAACCCGAAGAATTTCGAAGTATTATCATTAACACATACCTTAAAACACTCGACTAATATAGCCTGGGTTATAGGTAGGAGGTTCACAAAAGCAAACAGCGTTTTTGGTTGGTTTGCCACACACTATTTCAATTTATAGCTTCTTTTAATGTTTAAAACTTACATTTTTTGCAGAAAACTGAAGGACAGAAAAAGCGTCACTTTAACATTTTAATTAAAATAAAACTTGCAAGTTTTGCTATTGTTTGATATAATTTCCAGGAATGGCTAAAGAAACTGGATTATGGGTTAATACATTTAACAGAAATATAGCACTACTAGCGTATTTCGTTCACAGTCCTGAATATTTTAAAATCAATCATAAAAAACAGCATCTTGTTCTTGCTTATACAATGAAAATGGGAATAAAGACTATGGAATTTCAGTTCTATCACCTCAGTGAACATAAAAACAAGTATTAATAATTTTTTAAGTTATAAACTGGCGTTTGATACGAGCGTTTAAATTTTAATAATGGCAATTATTTATTTATACTGCCACAAAAGAGATACTTCTGTGAAACTTTTAATGTCCTTCAGAGTTGTCACTAAAGTTGCATATAACCTGCTGCATATGGAAACAGTGGTATGCTATAACAACTCATGTTCTGCTGATGGTTTGAATGTAGCAACCTTTTGCCTGAAAGATCACTGGAGCATTTCGAAATGAAGGCCATGATGTGGGTTCTTCATCTAAGGAAATTAATCATAATAACAAGCTTAAATTCGAGGAATATAGGAAATGGTAAATTACTTTTCATCCTATCCAGTTATTAAAGTTATACGGTTACGATATTGATCTTAAAAGTCCCAAGTCATCAGCGTATCCACAGAAGACTATCTGACCCCTTTTTGTGCCGTAGACGTCTCAGCTAAAAGTATCCAAACGCAGTTAAATGTTTATGTAAAAGTATTTATTAACACATCATCCTAATTCTTATACAAAATGATGAGCTAAAAAGAATAAAACTCTGCAACTTGCGAGCTGACGAGTAGCTTTTTATACAAATTCAGAATATAGCAAACGAAGCATGCAATATTAGCAAAGCCTAGCCTAAATAGTATTTCTTTCCTCTGATCATCCTTTCCAAAGCGTTTGCGAAAAAAAATGCGGCAATAAAATCTTTGACAGCAGCTAATTTACAAAAATCCAAAGTAAAACACTAATAAACACTAATAAAACACTAAGTAATAGTTAGTTAAAAATTGTATTTTTTTAAGCTAAATTGAGTGTTGGTATTTAGATATTAACTTGTCGGGATTTTGGACAGTCGGGATTTCGACCCTGTCGGGATTTCGACCCTGTCGGGATTCTGGACACTCGGGATTCTGACCCTGTCGGGATTTTGACCCTGTCGGGATTTCGACCGTGTCGGGACTTTGGGTTGTCCGGGATTTCGGCCCTGTCGGGGTTTTAAACAGTCGGGATTCCGACTGATTCCGGCTTGTAGAGATTTCGGCTTTCGGGATTATGACCCAGATCCAAGCGAATAATCGCTTGAGTTCGTGTGCCAAGAAACAACAAGATGGAAGTGTAAATAACCCTTTATTATTCAAATAAGATTTAACAGACTTACCGTCTTGAAGTGTACAATAAAAGCCGACACTTGGTCTTGAACTTAAGAGGCTAAGAAGTAAACTAAAACTAATCTAAACTAAGAGATATAGCCGAAGTTATCGAAATTCTAACCGAGTTGGCCCTTTAACGCTAACTGACTGCGAAGCTATCAAGGGCCTGAGTACGGCCGAGCGTAATAAACAGTTTTGAGTGAGAGTAGCCCAAAAGGCGAACGCGTGCTAATCAGAAACTCTGATTCTCTCTAACTCAGCAAGTAGAACTTCGCGGTTAAATACTGCTCTTCCTCATTATGTATTCAGACGTGATTCCAAAACTACGTTCTGGCCAGAAGTAGTAAGTTGAAGTTAAGGATTTAACAGGAAATTAACTTAAAATTTAGCTGTTAATAAAATTAGCATAATCCTTACAACCTTTATAACTTGGAAACATTCTAGGAAAGCAATTTCAGTGTTTCTCGATTTTCTGTCTTTTTCGTGCTTCCTTGAGACATTTGTATTTTTTAATATTTCTTCATTAATTATAATTCCTTGTTTAAGTAGATTGCTCGATGCTATTTGGATAATTGCAGCCAGAGGAAAACTACACTTAAATGTAGATTTCTTCTATCTGCAATTAGCAGGAAGATCGAGGGTATCTATCAACAATTTATCCTTTTCCTCCAGGCGTTTTATCCTTTTAGTTTGGAATTCCGACATGTTACAAAGTTAAACTCATAAGAAATTGAAGTGCTTCTTCAAATGACGAAATTTCAAAATTTACCTTTCTAGACAGCAACAAGTTTACCATTTGTATGTTTAGTCAATCTGCTTCCTCATGATTATAAAGCACGACCAATGCTTTCCTTGCTTTTTCTTCAGCTTACAGTTACCACTTTTTTCCACTCGAAGACTTTTAATAATGTTTAGAAGTTTTTCATGAATTTTTACTATAACTGTGTATGAACATAATGTTGTTCCAAAGAAAAAACTTTAATTGTGGAAACCTTTAAAGATAGGATACGTAAGTCGCATTTCTACCTCCTATCAATGACGTAGTATTCTCAAGTGGTATTTGAGAACTGTTTTTGTCAACTTTAAGATAAAGAAATTCTGTCCCTCTGAAAGCCTATTCGGATAAAGAACTCTAAGACCAAGTTTCATGGGTATAAGGAATTGCGGATAGGAAACCTTTGGTCAAACCCATTTTATTGAAGTGTTACAATAACAAAGCCATCACCCATAGTACGTTAATTGAATGAATTACGAAAAATTTGGTAGGTGCACGTGCAAATAGAATATTCTGACACTTAACAGAATCAATCTTATGCGAATGTGAGTTTAAAAAGGAGCGTAGAGAAGTTCAATATGCAGCGGTTTTTCTATTGATCAGTATGTATTCGCTTTGATTCCTGGAGATTTATAAAATAATTTTTTAATACAACATTTTTAATTTAGTGTTTTAATTTTTTATTTATTATTAATTTAAATCAATATGGCAAAACACACGCAAGAGTTTCTAGAAAACTAGGCATAATGTTGACTAAAAAGCCATACGTTTTGCGCATTAGGAAACTACGAAAGCTGCCTTGCAATCACTTCGCTCGCCAGCGCATTTCTAACTCCAGTTAACCACGTGTATTCAGCACTTTAACCGCTTGGCCGTTTGTAGCTTGGATACAAATGACAGAATATATTCCGCCGTTATTATCGTGGTTAGCGATGCTTAGTGCCATACTGAGAGGCAGACGCCGAATGTCAGAGAAGACACAGATATTTGTAAATGCACAGTAGCAATACTGCATGGTAGGCGCTTAAAATACTAGCGAAGCGAAAGTATATTTGGTGGTAGATGAAGAGGTGTGGGAGATCTTCGGAACCCAGAGTATGCTTCATTAAAACTGGTACGTAACTGTACAGTTAGAGCCATATGACTATACTTGTGAATTTTTTTTTTTTTTTTTAAATTTTGGTATCTCCCAAAATTTACGATGTTGCCTATGTTATTTACACAAGTATGTGTTCGGCCTGACTCAATAATTATTCCGTTACATATTTTTAAACGCTAATTATAAAACTAGTGTTCGCAATCTGTATAACAACTGGGAAGCGAAATTTAACAGGCTTTATATTATTTTATTAATTAATTTATTTATTTTCAAAAATGCTGCATATATGATCAAACACACAGTAGTTTAGTTTGAAGGAAGTATATTATTCTTTTACGCTGGACATTTAATAAAGATAGCGACTGGTAATAAATGTCGGACATGACTGAATAGACTTTCTAAACATTAAAATGAATTTTTGTTGCTGCTTTTATAGTCAATTGTTAAAATGATTTTATAACTCTTTTCACTATCAATAGTTTACATATTAAAATAAAATACTCCCATTTAACATTATTTTGCATCGGTTTATATTTAAAAATGCTCCTTTGTGCTAAATCCTTATGCTTATTATGACAATAACAACTGCGGTTTCCTGCTGACTTAACCTTTCGACGATATAATGCAAATGATTCCTTTTGCTTAAAAGATATTTAAGCAGAAAATTCTAACATCAGATTTTGGCAAATCCTAAATGCTGATCAAATTCTCAGCTGGAAATCTATTCATAAAGATCTTTTCATTCTAACTGAAGATTTTGGAGACTTAAAGATTATAATACCATAGCTTTTATGTCTTCACTCTTTTCAACTTCAAATACTTTAAAAACATTTTTGAGGTGTATAATTTAAATTCTCATTTTGTTGATGCATGTCGTATGCAGCAGGTTTAAGGAAAACATATGTATTATGAAATATATTTCAGAATGCCTTTTGCATGACCTTTTAACATCGCCGCGTGATTTAATTTATAATCTCAATGCAGCTGTACCTTGTACTATTGTTGCGAGCGTACGGGTTCGTAATAAATTAATTGCACAAGTCGGATGAATAATGAATAAAATTTATTCTTACCACAACAACTAAAACAAAATGCTGAAATTTCCCCAGAGATATTCGCACAATAT